CCTTTCAAACCCCGACCAGTCTGTGATTCTGTGAAAGGCAGGCAAGCTTCAACGCTGCTGTGAGAGCCGCCCGCTGCAAGAACCCCCTTGGCCACGGCACGGTGCCGCCAGGGACACAACTGTCGGTGGCCGGATCCTGTGGCCGCATCGTCCCTTCAGCAGAACAGCAAGGAAAATGGCGTATCAGCAACATCACACATCTCGCCTGCATTCTGTCGGCTCAGCACGGCCTGCCACGGCTTCTCCTCAGCCTGGAGCTTCACTTGGCTTCTGCTGTGCAGAGGGAGGCAGAGGAGGCTGGGAGCACTGAGGAATCACAGAATGGCAGGGGTTGGAAGGGACCTCTGTGGGTCACCCAGTCCAACCCCCTGCAGGGTCACCCAGAGCAGGGGGCACAGGACCTTGTCCAGGCGGGGCTGGAATATCTCCAGAGAAGGAGACTCCACAGCCTCCCTGGGCAGCCTGGGCCAGGGCTCTGTCACCCTCAGAGGGAAGAAGTTCTTCCTTGTGTTCAGGAAGGGCAGGAGGAAACTGCCAGGCTTACAAGACAAGTAGAAATAACACACAAACCTGCAGGATCACGCAACTGGAGGCTGTACTAACAAATTAAACTCAGGGCAGTCACGAAGGACAGAAGGGTGACCTTCTTTCTCGCCATGCCCATGCTTGAGGGCCGGTCGTCTGAGCTCCTGCTCTCCCCTTCCCGGCGCAGGCTCCGTCCTGCCTCCATGCGTGGATTCGCCCCGCGCGCGCCTTCACCTCACCCTGCTGCTCCCCGTCCCTCCCCCTGCTGCCCCCCGTCTGCGGTCCTGCGCCCTGGCAGAGGCCCCCGCCTCGCGCCCACCCCCCGTGCCCGGGGCAGCGACACAGAATCACAGAATCACAGAATAGTAGGGGTTGGAAGGGACCTCTGTGGGTCATCTAGTCCAACCCTCCTGCCGAAGCACGGAGCAGACGACGCGACCCTCGGCAGCGGGAGCCTCGCGCGCTTCCTTTCTTCCAAAGGCTGAGAAAATGGCCCCAAACTGGGGAACAACGGGCAGGGCACGCTGCTGACACCGCGGCAACTCGGCAAAATTCAGACCCTTTTTTTAGCCGAAACGGAGCAGGCGGGGACCGCGGGTTGCACGCCGCGGGGGTTCCGGGGTTTTGGT